TTTTAGACATCAACGAATGTTCTACCAACTCTCATAGCTGTGACGTAAATGCGGTGTGCGGCAATACTCTGGGTTCTTACACATGCGCTTGCAAACTAGGATACTCGGGTAATGGAAGAACATGCTCTGGTAAGTTGAATAGTGTAATTTAAAAGCAAAGTGTTTATGCTAAATTTGTCTTTAGCAGTATATGAAGCAATTACCCGACGCAAAAACTCACAAAATCTGATGACATTATTGTGTGTAACCCAGTTAAACAGGCAAAGATGGGTGTTATTAAAAAATACATCAAACTAAAACCTAAAATACACCCGATGAATTTCTAAAAATATATCTATTCCATAAAGTTGTAATTTTTTTTTTCTTGTAACGTATTTATTTTACAGTTTTACGTTTGAATTATACAATCGAACTCTTTCAACAAAGACCAGTGCGTAACTTACTTGTAGTAGAGTAACTTGATTCATCTTTTTTCTTTGTTTTAGACATCAACGAATGTTCTACCAACTCTCATAGCTGTGACGTAAATGCGGTGTGCGGCAATATTCTGGGTTCTTACACATGCGCTTGCAAACCAGGATACTCGGGTAATGGAAGAACATGTTCTGGTAAGTTGAATAGTGTAATTTAAAAACAAAGTGTTTATGCTAAATTTGTCTTTGGCAGTATATGAAGCAATTACTCCACGCAAAAACTCACAAAATCTGATGACACTATTGTGTGTAACCAGAAACTCATAGGGGGTTAAAGCATGTAACTCTCACGTTTGCTTTGTGCGATGCTCGTGATTATTCATTTTCGAAAGTACCATATTTGGAACGAGAAGAAGAGATAACTGATCAATCAAACTTCGTAAACAGTGTGACGTAATTTTACTTCAGGTTCCCGCGCCCTCTTGAAAAAAAATGGCCGACAAACGGGGGAAAAAACTCCCGAAAGCCGAGAAAGCTTTCAAAGTTTGAAATCAGGAGTCTCACCGAAACACTGAGCAGGTTATTATTGCCTCACCACCCAGACCAAACATAACATTATGAAACCCACTGACGTCCTCGCAGCTTCTTGAAGGAGGGGGGTGAATAGGCAAACGGATCGGCGGATTTTGAAAATATTTTTGCCCGGATTTCGGATTCAAAGCGAGATTTTAACGGATTTCCGGATCCTGCAATTGAAACGGATTGCGGATTCACCTACGTTTTGGGCCCGGATTTTGGACTTTGCGTGTAATTAAAATATTTTTGCCCAAATTCCGGATTCTGGGCGAAAATGGAAGGGCGGATTTGGTTAACAAATCATAACGGATCGGCGGATTTGCATACTGCTATTCACCCCCCTCTTGAAATTGTCACTTCAAATAATGATCAGAACGATGCCTCGTTGACCCTCAGTACAGTAAACTTATACTGCAAATAGGCTTTTAAAATTCTTATATTAAAAGTCTAGAATAAACAGTAAAAAATATTTTCGAATAAAATTCATTAGCTGCGTATCGAAAAGTGTCCAAAACCTGACATCTTTGCAAAAAGTGATGCGTGTAATGAATGTGAGAAGCATTTAAGCTTAAATTCAGCTTGGATGTTGTAGTCACAATCGTGTTTTGAGCTAATTTTATGAATGAACAAACTCAAAACAATAGACAGAGAAGCCGTTTCTTCAAAATTTTTATTCAAAATCCAAAAGGTTAATCCTTTAAAGCAATTCGGAAAACATTATCTGGGTCTTGGATCCGTTCACGCAAGTGAAATCAGCTGAGCACATGGCAAAATGCAACACAAAATCCATCTCAAATCGGGGCACATTTTGTAAATCTTTATTTACGCACGCCCGTGCGTAAATAAGATGACGTGAGCAATTTTTTTTGTTTACCTGGCTGCAAAGTTGTCGTCTTTTAAGCTGCAGTACATTTTTCCTTCTCTTTAAAATATGGAAGAAACCAGCCAAGAACTGCCTAATTTTTCTATCGGCATTGACCTTTTAGGTCCTGATCCAACAAGCAGCACAACTATAGCCGAATTAAAAAAAACTCGCAAGTTGCGCGTTTCGCAAATTTGTCGAAGACCAGTTGCAGCAAATTTTGGCCGAAAGACATTCACTGGGAACAGAACAGACACCAACTGGTCATCAACAACATTTAAAGGCAAAATTTCCGTTTTTATTGTTGTTTTTAAATTTGTTATGCACTTTCTTATCTCCGGACAATCCGACTGAAGCAGGAAAATTTCTTATTCTATCGCAATAACAACACAAATTACACAAGAAGACAAATCTATTACTCACAAAAACAACTGCTGCCAGGTCTTCTCAAGAAGCCGTAATGACCAGCTAGTGTTCGTAAATGAATATAAGTTTAAAGAAGAATGACAGTCGTCTTCGCTAAAATCATGTTTTCTGGATTTCGACGAGCGAAACGTAAACATCTTTTCAGCAAATCCAAACCATACTCCACGACTTCTTACGAACATGTTAGTTTTAACTTTAGGTGAACTTTAAGACTCTTTACCTTTGTTTCTGCTTAGTTTCCATTGATCGTTAACGAATTAAAGAAGCAAATTTTCTTTCTCACTTTTACAGAAAGAATATTTTCATTCAAACTAGACGATTGTGGCGTGTTCGTAATCAGCCAATAGAACCGTTGGTTAATGTGTCGCGCGTTACGAGAATTTTGCAGCTAATCAAAAAGCAAGCATTTTTGTGAGCTATGTTATAAAAGAATTGGCTCATGCTTTTAGCTGTGCGTATATCGAGTTATGGATGCACTTGGGAAGTTTGGATAGCACTCAAGAAGCTAGAGTTGCACGAGGCGATACTCTTACTCATCTTTCGTGCTCTCCAAACTTCCCGCGTGCATCCATAACTCGATATACGCACGCTTAGCATGAACAAATTTGTAGTAGAATAACTTGATTCATCTTTTTTTTTTGTTTTAGACACCAACGAATGTTCTACCAACTCTCATAGCTGTAACGTAAATGCGGTGTGTGGCAATACTCTGGGTTCTTACACATGCGCTTGCAAACCAGGATACTCGGGTAATGGAAGAACATGCTCTGGTAAGTTGAATAGTGTAATTTAAAAACAAAGTGTTTATGCTAAATTTGTCTTTAGCAGTATATGAAGCAATTACTCCACGCAAAAACTCACAAAATCTGATGACACTATTGTGTGTAACCCAGTTAAACAGGCAACGATGGGTATTCATAAAAAAATACATCAAACTAAAAGCTAAAATACACCAGATGAATTTCTAAAAATATATCTATTCCATAAAGTTGTAAAAGATAATTTATACAACAGGATAAATTATAGTTAATGTGATAACCATAAACCCGCCCTTACCAGTAATGGAACCAGCTCACTTCCTTTCAGGGATCACTTCCGGCATGCAACCGCTGTCACACTATTTGTTTCGCTCAGCCAATTAGATGCCAGCTATCACATGTACAGTTGATGCCTATATTTTCGCGCCTAGCTCAGCAAAATAGCACTTCATATTCTTCTCTTCGTGAAACAAAATCCCATCCCACCCTCCCTTATTACTGCTTGATTCTCTCTGCTGGTTTTTCTTAAGGTTTTATATATGAGGTCTTTTCTCTTGCTTGGGAATTTAAGAAGCTGCTTATACTTTTTGCAATCATACGAACTACTGATCTTTGTTGTTTACACTTTGAATCAATTGGCAATTGTCAAGAAGATATGGCAGAAAAGAGGTGGGGTTTCTACTGAGGGGAATCATTCTACCAGGCATCCTAACATGCTTGTTCACTTAGTTACTTTGGGCCTTATTTTGATTATTAAGTTGATAAAAGTTTAATTGTCATTTACTTACAACTTCTTTTAATATATTTTCGTCTAACCTCTCTCCCTCGAGGTTCATGTTAAGTGTCTGGCTCCGCGTTCGGGAGGGTTCAGGTTTCCCTCAAATAATTGGGGGCTTTTCCTGACGGGCAGCAGGCACGCAATTCGAGCTTAAATTAGTGATGATATCTGTATTGAGAGTTGTTGGTAATTAATAAACATGGGTTCGGGATGAAGTACTCCCATACAGGTCACACTTTGCCCCATAGACTCTTGTTACTCCTTAAACCGGGGAATTAGACATGTAGAGAGGTCTTTCCACCTCTCCAGTACCCAAGGGGGATTATCACCTCCACTCACAACCTTGGGGGATTTTGAACCCCTAGAGAGGATTATCACACAGCTTCACACTATTCTGGGATATTATCACCCCCAAGAGAGGATTATCACCTCTCACTATCCTGGGGGATTATCACTCCCTAGAGAGGATTATCACCTCTCCCCTTGTAGATTTCGGACTGTTACACCAATATGTAGAGAAAAGTGACCTGCTGTCCATATTTGGAGTACTTCATCCCTTACCCCTTTTCCCCATAATAATTCTGTTCTAGTTACTTGCTTTTATCTAAGGGGTTTTGGGTTGAGAGCATTAATATAGTATATTTTATGTGAAGACATTTTTTTTTTCTCGTAACGTATTTATTTTACAGTTTTGCGTTTGAATTACACAATCAAACTCTTTCAACCAAGACCAGTGGGTTTTTACTTGTATTAGAATAACTTCATTCATCTTTTTTTTGTTTTAGACATCAACGAATGTTTTACCAACCCTCATAGCTGTGACGTAAATGCGGTGTGTGGCAATACTCTGGGTTCTTACACATGCGCTTGCAAACCAGGATACTCGGGTAATGGAAGAACATGCTCTGGTAAGTTGAATAGTGTAATTTAAAAACAAAGTGTTAAGCTAAATTTGTCTTTAGCAGTATATGAAGCAATTACCCGACGCAAAAACTCACAAAATCTGATGACACTACTGTTTGTAACCCAGTTAAACAGGCAACGATGGGTGTTCATAAAAAATACATCAAACTAAAAGCTAAAATACACCAGATGAATTTCTAAAAATATATCTATTCGATAAAGTAGTAAATATAGTTTCTTTTATAATTTTTTTCTTGTAACGTATTTAATGTATATCATATTGATTGGTTTCTCAAAGATATTACCTTGTAAGCTACTTCAAAATTCGAGTGCAAATATAATAAAAATTACGTATGTATGCAAACTACTAGCTTTAAAATTTTTGTAATGGCAACAACATGTTTGTATGTAGATATCGACGAATGCACTACCAACTCTCACAGCTGTGACGTCAATGCGGTGTGTAGTAATACTGTGGGATCTTACGCATGCGCATGTAAAGCAGGATTCACAGGAGATGGAAACACCTGCACTGGTGAGCCGTTTAAGTCTAATTGAAAATGTTTGTTTGATATGTTTGTTTGTGAGTAAACCGGCAACAACAGCAATACAACACTCTTTATTTGTGCTCTTCTTGCCCTTCCAATAAAATTTTCGTTTACATGGGAAAAAATTACAGTAATGGCCGCTTGGAGTAAGCGAACAGACAAGCGATGTCAAGCAGTCAGATTTTGTACGCAATAAATAAAAATAAAATACAGGCGCCGGTTGCGCAAACTCTGGAAAGCGCTATCCAACGGATAAATCACTCTTCAGTAGATAAGTATAAGGTAACTAATTGCGGTATCCACTGGATAGAGATTTGTCGAGTGGATACGGTTATGCAAACGTTACGGCTGCAACACAACTTATACCTTGGCAGGGAATAGTAATTTATCCTCACTGCATACCTATTACCACATCACGGTAAACTAAGTTATGGGAGGAGACCGCGACAACTGTGGCAACTAAGGTATGCAGCGGGAGTTTAGCGTAGCCGCGTCGACCGGCACCAG